GACCCTGAAAAGAAAAAAGTGTGTAAGTATAATGATGGATGGATGGATGGATGGATGGATGGATGGATGGATGGATGGATGGATGGATGGATGGATGGATGGATGGATGGATAAAGGTGAAACATTTCTTCTAAATCAGGGATGAGTTTGTGCCACACAGTGGTGGGGATGTAAGTATTTCATCCAGTGTTGATTCTGTAAGTCTGCCCACTTAAAAATAAATGAACAATCTTAAAATGTAAAGGTAATTTCCTTTTGATAGAGAGAAACAAAAAGAAAGTAAATCAATGTGTTCGTTCCTGAAATACAGTCACTTTGTTCACAGATGAAGCACATCTCTGCATTGAATCATATTTTTCCTATCCAGCTTCTCCACCCCCAAGGACAAGAACAAAGAGTTGTCAAATTATGTCAAGAATAAGTTAGCTGTGATACCATCAGCAAAACACTTGGTGAGAAGGTGATGACTGTTGGTTTGATCATTCCAAAATCTAAACTTACATTAGCACAAAAAGTAAGTAAATTTGTGTTTGGTAGATCATTTCTTTGTTGTAACAGTGCTTCTTGGCAATAAATCTTATACCATTGGAAAGCCTGTTAATTTCCCTTTTAAATAATGCCACACTTGTAAGGAGTTGTGGGATGAAATGTAGAGCTGAGTATGAGGGTTGCACATGTGGAAAATTTGCCAAATCTCTGCCAAACAGCTTATTTTGCTGTTGCTATTGACACTTGTTTTGAGCTTCTGGTACCCCCAAGGTGCTGCCAATCAGATTTATTACCAAGAAGCGTTTTTACAAATAAATAAATAAATAAATAAATAAATAAATAAATAAATAAATAAATAAATCTACCAAACACATATTTACTTACTTTTTGTGCTAAGTTTAAATGAAATGTCAATCTTCGGCAGGCTGAAGTGAGAAGGATCATGAGGATGATGAAAACATAAGCTGGTTAATGATCTGAGAAAAACTCAGGACCACAAACACTATGACTGCTGCACACTGAGCCGTAATGAACTGAAATCTTGTCACAAACTCGGTCCCCCTGCTCAGGAAGGCACATTAACGGGCCGGACTTCCAGTGGCATAGTTGTGGACAAGATTTTGAATTTTTGTTTATGATAAAAAAACCAGAGATTATGAAAAACAGAACTAAATCTAATACACACTAATAGAAAAATGTGGAGCTACAGTTGTTTTATAGCAGTAACACAATATTTGAAAGTCCTTAACACTGAGGTAAAATCAGTGATTAAGATTGTAGTTTATCCTAATTCAGTTCAAAGTCAAACTGAAAGTATGATTAAACTAGAAGCACTCGGAGAGTGCAAACCTCCGCCTAGACCAATTTCCCCCATCCTGTTATGGAGTTAATGCGCAAAAGCAGAGATGGAAACACATTTGCCGAATAAGTTCTGACGTAGCGAACATTTAAGCAGGCAGAATGCACGGGATTCCTTCTCGGTCGAGTCCAATGTGAAAAAAAATGTCAGACTCATCACCCGAGGTTATTCATCGTCAAACTGGTGTGGGATTAAGCTCCCAAGTTTTCATCAGTCACATTTCACTGTGTAAAATGTCTGTTTTATCCCCTTGTATGAGTTTGTAATGGTTTGACTCTCTTTATAAAGTGCTTCCTGGCTCCCCCCGCCTCCAAACTTTGAGGCCCAGCAGCCCTCTGTTTACAAGCCTAGTAGCGAGAAACTGTTTTGATTGGTTTTTTGGGAAATGTGGTGTGTTTGAGGAAATGGGGAAAATATATTTTATGGTGCAGTCACGCACTTCATGGTCACAAAACTTTCTGTAAATGAGCATCTTACGGCAAAAAATATTCATCATTAAATCTGGTTTTCACATTACTTTTATAAAGTTTGAAGTCCGTGCTGTCCAATCCAGGTCACTGTTTTTTACAGAAGCCCTGGTGAAAGCATCACAGCTTTGCCGATCTCAAAAGTGTTAAAAGAAAAAAATGCCTGTATCCGCATCGTGATCTGGAACATCACCAACATTTAAAGGTGTCTTCCTTGGCCCAGTACACACATGTGTTAAAAATGTCATGACAATACGTCCACAAGTTTTTGAGTAATGTTGTCCACAGACAGAACGACAGACAGACAGACATGACTGAAAACATTACCTCACCCTTGGCGGAGGTAGCTAACACAAAATGAATTCAATACTTGCTGAAATGTATGAATAATTAATCAGTTTAACTACAACTAAAAGCCAGACTGAAAGCTAAGGCTTGGGTTTATTAAAAAAAAAAACTGTTCTCAGGTTTTCAGCTG